GCTCTCTCCCTCTTATCTTCTTCACGTCAACGTTCGGTCGAGGCTCTCTCAGCTTGGAAGCCCTGCTCTGCTACCACCACCACCACCACCATTCATTCAGTTAGGTAGACTTTCTAGCTCTCTCACTGCTTTCTGCTTGTTCTCCTCGAGCTGTCAGTTGATTTGCCTTTCTCTCTCTCCTCAGTTCGGCAGTCGACAGAGTGCGGCGACTGTTGCAGCAGCAGCAGCCCCATCATCCTCGGCAGTGACTCTTCGTTCGTTTGCCATCACCGTCATTTGCACTTTTGCCGTCCACCGGCACGTACCGGTGTGCTCTCTGACAGTCTATCTCTTCAACACTTCAGCCCAATCTGACTCAACCAGCTAAAGTTTGTTGTTGTCCTTAATGATGATGAACAACTAGTGTGCTCAGCTGATTGAACACTACTACTGCCTCTTCTTCTTCTTTTTCCTCATTTGCCAATTGTCAACTGTGTCAATCACATCTCTTCCTCGTGTACACCTAATTGATGTTGGTCATTACACCTCTGCTCTAGTTATCACATCGACTGCTCTCTTCGATTTACAGTGCTCTACATTTTTGAGTTCACCGATCAAAAAAGCCCCAGCATCATTGATCATCCTCTTGTTGTTAATCCACTAGCGGTCGTCATCTTCTTTCTTTCTTTCCACTCATCATCGTCTATTGTTTCCAACACCCATTGTGTACTACTTTCCATATCCTAATTGCTCTTCTGCTTCTTCAACTTCAACAACAGCAGCAACAAAAATTCCAGTCTCGACCATTGTTCACTCTAATTGTTCATTGTTCTTCTTCGTTGTTGACCCTCTCTCTCGCTCTTCATTATCCTCAACAGGAACAGTGATTAGCCACAGTGAATATCTCCAAGTAGTAATAACCGGTGGTGGTATCTTCTTCGGTCATCATCATCATCATCGTCTCCCGTATATACCGTAATAATGTGCCAGCGACCATCTAAGAACAGGCCACAACTGCTGCATTAGCAGCAACCGAAGCAGACAGCACAGTGATAAGCCTTCTGCCATACAGTAAAGTGGAGTGTCATCTCTAGGGCAACACTAGCTCATATCATCACCACCACCACCACCACCACCACCATCATCATCATCTTCGTTGACTTCTGGTGTCGATGACTGTGGTTGCCTCCTTCTCCTGATCATTCCCCACACTGTTGCCACAGTTCTTGCAGACTGTTCTCGCTCTTTCTCTTTCTCACTCACTATCCTCCTTATCGGCTGCGCAAGCTCTGTTCCGTGATCTGTCACCTCTGCCTCTGCCTGCCTCTGCCTGACTGACTGTCTGTTGTATCTGCCGTCTGGCAAAAGAAGTCAGAAGACGACTACACTGGAGTAGCTGTGCCTGGCCGCGCTAGCTGCACATGCACAAACACCAGGCAAACAACCGTCCACTATCCTCATTCCACCAGCGAGTCAGCCACACCCGACGCTGCACTGCACTGCTGCAACAACTTACCACCACCAGCAACAGCGCTCTCTGTCCCCGCTTCTTTTGACCTTCTTCTCGGCTGTGACATTTCTTCAGCATCTTAGCGGCAGTATTGTCTTTTCTTCTCTTTCCTTCCTTTCTTCCTTCTGCCCTTCCTTTCTTCTACCCGCTGGCACGCGTCACCACGAGCACCCTGCTGCTGCTGGTCCAAGTGGCATCTGTTCCAATTGGAACACACTGTCTGCAACAAAGGAAGAGCACCAGTGCTGCGTACGTGCGCGCGCGCTCGCGACCAACAGCTGCCGCAGCTAGGTAGGCTTGCTGCAGGTCAAAACTGCTGCTGCTGCTGTTGCCAGCCAGGCACACAAACAACTGCTCTGCCGATCTGCTGATCTTCACAGCTTCAACAGCCACTGAACAAGATGACTGAAGAAACAACTACAGTGGACCTTGTGGAGCCTCACTTGCTGAGGTTGTCACCGCCACCATCGGCGTCATCAGAACTTTCCTCTCCTTCAGGACTACCATCGTGTTCTTCTGCCGACCCCGTTACGACGCCCGTCTCCGCCTGTGATAGCACTACCACCACCACCTCCAGTCGTCTTGCAGAGATACAGGACGCCCTAGTCGAAGTTGAGAGTACACCTGCCTCTGCACTGTCACCTCGTGATACATCTTCATCCTACAACTGCCCTCATTACCACCTCCATCACCACCATCATCATCTTCCACAGCGGTTATCCCCACCGCCGCCGCAACAGCAGGGCTGGTCATCCCCAGTGACGCTGGAGTCGTCCGCTGTGGGTGATGGAGTGGTAGTGGTGGTCAATCATGCCCTGCCACTGTCACCCTCAATGACGCCGCCCATACTCCTTTCACCGACAGGTGGTGATGATGAGGAGGACGAAGAAGTGCCCTCAACGCATACTACCTCCTCATCGGATTCGGTGGCCAACAGTCCACTCTCGTTTGCCAGTGAAGATGAAGAAGAGGAAGAGGCTGATGTAGGCGTAGAAGGCACTATGCCCACCGAGGATGTTCCCACTTTTTTGCAGAGCACATCCAGTGATAGTCCACATTCACCAGTCCAGCACCAGCAGCAGACCACTACTACCACAACAACACCTGAAAAGTCGCCATCACCTCGACTAAGTCGATCAAGGCCCGGTTCACTGAGGCATGCTCGCAGTAGTGCTCGCTTCAAGCCGTACAGAACTGGAGCCACCACCGTAAAGTGTACGACAGCCGTCCTCAGGCCACTGAACGACGGTGGACTTTGCCAAAGACCTTGCATTACCACCACCACCAGGACTACTGCTTCATCTTCATGTGATACTGCGACCACCAGGACTGAGGATGCCACTGATGAAGTTGTGGACTCACTGGAGTCGACGACTCATTCGGACACTACCAATACTTCCGATTCATCAACCTCTGGTCACCACCAGCATCATCATCAGCAGCAAACCCACCAACAAACCCACCACCACCAGCTGACCATCGACACTGCTCTGGCCAACTCGCAATCTGCCGCCGCCCACCAGCAGTCAAGGGCGGCGAAGTTGGCGCTGGTGCAGAAGCTGATCACCGTCATCGATGACGACGACTTTGAGCGTTTTCGGGCCATCCTCCGCCAGAGCAAACAGCCCGACCTGAACGTCTTCGTCAACGGACAGACGGCACTGCACTACGCACTTCTTCGTGGTAAGTGACAGCTTTTTCTAGAATTGTGCTTGAGATGTTCTACCTGGAGTCATATGGAACTTTGATGTGTCACTTTGCTGTTATGGTCTTCCTTGTTGGTGCCCCACCTTTCCTTCTTTCCCCACTCATCCATTCATCCCCTCTGCCCACCTGACCTTTAAACGGCAGCCTACTACGAACGCATGCCTTAGTAGTGGAGTATTCATTGATCAGAGGCAGCAACAGCAGCAGCGACCATCTGGTTACTACTACTNCTTCCTTGTTGGTGCCCCACCTTTCCTTCTTTCCCCACTCATCCATTCATCCCCTCTGCCCACCTGACCTTTAAACGGCAGCCTACTACGAACGCATGCCTTAGTAGTGGAGTATTCATTGATCAGAGGCAGCAACAGCAGCAGCGACCATCTGGTTACTACTACTACTGCGACCTGTGGTTCTACTTTTGAGCCATTGTGTGCTGCTGCTGCTGTCGAGCACCCTGATCACGGACCCAACACACAGCAAGACAGGCAGATACAGGCAGGCTGGCAAACATCTGCCGCTTGGCCTTGCCTGGACAGACACTGAGTTGCGCAGAGTGTGTTGCCTGGGCCTAGTCACCAGGCACCACTGCTTCACTGCTAATTAGCCCTCTGCTTCCATTTGCTGCTTTTGGTACTGCCACCTTTGCAGTACACATATTTAACAATCCTCTTTCTCTGTGTTTTTGCCCGTGTGGATATAAATAGAATCGGTTCCATATGGTTTTCGCTTGTAGAAACTTCTCTTCTCTCTTTTTCCTTTTGTTTAACAAATGATCCTAATATTTTTGTATCTTTTTCTCCTCTTCTCTCAGGTCGTGATGTTTCCTGGTGTAAACAGCTGGTGCTCTTCGGCGCCAATCCCAACCTCTCCAATCTGGACGGCTGGCATCCGCTGCACTTGGCCTCCTTCAGCGGCCTCAACGAGAACCTTAACTACCTGATTAGCTGCAATACTAACAATGGCCCACAGGTCAAGTGAAGTGTCATTCCTTTCCCCTCTCTCTTTCTCTTTTCCTGTTCCAAATCTTCTGCCGAACCACCAAACTTTTGTCTCCGTTGTATTGCGAATGTATCTTTTCCTCTTTGTCGACAGCTAGGTCCCGGTTTCGGGTGTTTCCCTCCTATTTCCTCTCTTTGTAAATAGCCCTTTTTTCTCGTCCCACCTACATTCACCAAATCTTCAAAGCTGTCGTATATTTATTTAATGACTTGTTTGAAGATGGCAAGCTGGATTTTTCCTTCCTTTCCTGTCATGATTCTTGTCTCCTCTGTATAGCTTTGTTTGAAATGATTCTTCTTTTTGTTGTTGACTAGTTTACATATGTTTGATTGCTTGTTTTGATTATTTTGATTCTGTATAAACATCAAAGTAAAAAATGCTGATCACGATTAACTACACATTCCCGGAACAACTTTTTGNTTGATTGCTTGTTTTGATTATTTTGATTCTGTATAAACATCAAAGTAAAAGATGCTGATCACGATTAACTACACATTCCCGGAACAACTTTTTGATGATTTTTTTTGCTTAGTTTTCGGTAACGCCATCTTTGTAACATGATTCCGATGATCATGAAAAAGTAGTTAGTGTAATGTTTTCTGGTGATACTTTTATGACTCTAGCGACAAAGGTTTAGGAAAAAGAGCGAGAGAAGTAAGAAAAGAAGACAAGGTAACATAAAAAGAGGCAACCAGAGTCAGGATAAAAAAGAAAGAGAGGGAGCAAATAAAAGAAAGCAAATGTGAATGTTGTCTGTTATGGAAGTTCTCTCTCCTGATTATTCTTCTTGGCCATTATTTCCAACAATAGAAGTACATCATCATCAATGAATTACCTGATCACGGGGGGAAGGCTAACACTGAGGGCCACGATGAGAGAAAGAGAGAGAGAGAGAGAGAGAG